TATTTCTAATCTATCACAGACGTGTTCATCCTATTACACCTAATTAGAATACAGTTAGGGCCAATGTCATTTGCTAAGTCTGACAACACCCAGTCTAGTCTGTACCCTGTTCAAAAATGTTAAGTCCACAGTTAACTTCCTTTGATACTTTAAAAATGTCAAATTGCTATACAAGTGTCTATATGTTTACTTTTCATTTCTATATTTGTCTCATTATAGATCAAAGACAAATAGTATGCATTCTGGCCCTGGTACACAGACCACACAAAATGAGAAAATTGGAGGTAGTTTTCTTATGATGCATAGACTATTTTTTTATGTTTCTACTTCTTACTCTTTAATTCTAGGCTGACTACAGGAGAATTGCTGAGCAGAGGCAAGGAGTCACCAGTTTATCTCTTTGAATCTATCAGTTGCTACAAGGACATGCAGGTTCCTTTCACATTGGCCCCAGGATCACTTGGTTCAAGGCCCAATGGGGCTGCAGACAGAGTTAACCGGTGGTGTTCCCAGGTCCTGTGTAGTCAGTGTTGATATAATGACTCTCTAAGGTACAGTGTTCTCTGGAGGGCATAAGGAAAAAAGCGATTCTTAAAGTAGTTTTAAAGCATGCCAATCATGAAATTCTCAGTGATATTATCTGAATTTTATAGGTAAAGAAATGGTAACATATTAACTGAAGGACTCCCTTGGGTGAATAGATAAGGAAGCAAAGGGACACTCAAATTCTGAGTAATTTTTTTTTTTCTAGGATTTTAAAAACTGGAAAATAAAATGAATATCAAAGTTTGGAGGACAGTGGATCTTTATAACCTAGAATTTCTTAATAATTCCATTTATACATACTTTTCTTTTAAATAATTTCCCCTAAAATTATGTAATCTAAAAATGCAATGAATTATACAGCAGCTAAGCATAACATTGCTCTCACATCTTAGCTAGCTTTGTGCAAAATAAGGGAAAATGTGTGATCTATTCTAGACTCTATCTATCAACTTGACATGAGAGGACTGGCTTTGGGAGCACCGAGGGGGTGCAGCCCCTGGGGAAGTCACATGGTCCCGCTGCTCATGGGAATCTGGCCAGAGAGCAAACTTTGCAATTGCATGGAGAAAGCAGCTAATCATTGACATCTTGCCAGCTGTGGTATGTAGTCAGTGAGGAATTGGACCTGGCAAATAAAGTCCTGATGCTTGTGTCCAGATCTATTTGGGAAAAAAAAAATCATCCCCACTAAATAAAAAAACCCAAAAAACCCATGAAACAAAACCGAAGCACAAACAACTACCACCATCTCTCAAACCAAATAGAAATATGAAGTCCACCCAATAGTCATTTTTCCTCCAAAATACCAGTGTTTATTTAATAGACCCAGAGCCCCAGGATGGAAACAAACAGATCAATCATGAGGGTGTTCCATTGTGCCCATCATCCTCAGGTCCGCTGATGGTATTTATCTGAGTCTGGAAGTCGTCACGCAGGGCACAGGTGCAGCTGATGCGGCATGACATTGGAGCTATATAAAGCACTGTGAGTGACAGCAAGAAGGTAGAGGAAATTATGTCTCTGCACTCCAGGCAGCCAGCCCACCTCCCAACCCTCCTGCCACCCTCAGCCTCACCGAGTCATCTCCTGGTCACGGCCACCATGTCTCATCGTTGACTTCAATAGCAGTTGGCACTTTGCTGGCTTCCTGCTCTGCTTGTGTCCAAGGCTGAGATGAATATCTAATGGGCCCCATCTTTGTCTGCTGGGATGAGCTCATTTTTGTGCTGCTCCCTAGAATGGAGCTGTGCTTGTTCCTCAGACTGAATACAAGTTTCTGCAGGTAGAGAGTGTGCTGTTCACAGTTCCTGGTTTGCATGAGAGTTTTGTTCTATTCATAAATCTCCAAGCCTCAGTATTTGTCTGCTTGGAGATTTATGAATAGAACAAAACTCTCATGCAAGCCAGGAACTGTGGACACAAAGGCAATGGAGTTCCTCAGCATTTTAGCTATTGGGGAGGATAATTATCTACCACAAGGTGGCCCAACCAAGCTAGTGCTTTATGTAGCTTAACTAAATGAAATGCCATGCAAAACTTGAGCTTGTCTGAGTCACACTGGTGGGCTGTTGCTCGGGTGGAAGGCCACTCCCTGGGGATTTGGGCAGTGTCCTTGTGGAGAAGGAGCAGCAGTCTGCAACATTTGGGTGATGAGCAAATATCTTCTATCCACCCTGGGTCTCAGAGTTGAAGCTCTGGTAGGAGCCTCTGTCTATAGATTGTGCCTTTGGACAGCCACATGCGAATTCTCAGGACATTAGGTTTATATAGAAAATTTCACTGATGCTCACAACCCCCAAAGAGCCCCATTCCCAACCAGGAAAGAAAACACAATGCTGAGGTTGGGGTGATGTGCATAGAATAAACACGGGCTGGAGGCTATGCTATCTTGATTCTAGGTATTGCCAGGAGGGACTGGGTGACTTGGGAGTAGGATAAGATAAAGTCCATTAGGTCTGTCTGGAAAGGAGATCACAAATGAATTAAGCCAAGAGATAGGAGGGATATTAACACTTCTCCTGATCCCTCTCCCGGCACCAGTGATCCAACCCATGAAGGCCACACCGTCCAAACCGAAGAATCCTGCAACTGTTGCAACTCAAGCTCAATCTGGATCAGTGTCATTTTTCTCATATATAAAATGGGTTTCTTTTGATGTCCCTAAAAGCTGACTAGGTAACTCAGTAGGTTGTGTGGTCACACCCAGCTGTGACGTTGTGCAAGGTGTGCACACAGCTGAGGTGAGGAAATGAATTGAGTAAGGAATACTGCAGGACTCTGAGCAAGGAGCCGGGACCCTCCACTCTGCTACTGAGCCGAATGCTGCAGCGCACACGTCACAGAACTTGCCCACACGCTGGCTGTGTCTTCTCTCAGGGAGTAAAACTCTGACACTTTTAGAAGTAGAATATTCATTATTTGCTTTATTCTTTTAGTCTTTAATTCTTACATCATTGAATTCAGTCACCAGATAATTATATGTGTAAACAGTTGCCAACCCCTCTTGCTAGGGTTTGCATGAGGCCCCTGGCTTAAGTTCTTTTGGAAAGTTTATTTACCCTGTTCATTTATCACCATCTATCCATCCATCCATCCATCCATCCATCCATCCATCCATCCATCCATCCACTCATTCATTCAATAACATTCTTACCATATGCAACTTACATTCTCTCTCTGAGAGAGAAGAACAAACAGTTCTTGCCTTGGACCTCTGGTGTGAGCTGGGATGATTTGGGATTGCTTAGAAAACAACCTAAGCTCCATATTTTTCTTAGAGCCAGGCAGAAGGCTTGCCTTGCAGAGTCCTCCAGAAGGGTGTGTATTAGTATTATAGTTTCCCTGGAAGAGAGATGTTAGCAGGAAGGAAAGTGATTCGTGACTTTAAAACATTTCCCTAGATGTTTTGATGGTTATACCTGTGAAAGCACTAACTGAAGCAAAGAGTCATTGAGTCTTTGAGTTAACTTTGCCATTACTAAGAATAAGTTACCCAGAATAAGTTACCCACACTTATTCTGTTTTACCTTGTGTTTTCCAATCCTAACTTACTGCTCTCTTGTTTCCCTTGCATCCATTCTTTAAGCTTCAGCTCCTGTGCCCCTTCTTCCAGGAAGCACCCTGATTGTAGCAGCTCGATTACACACAGCCACTCTGAGCAGCTCCACACCTCAGTATCTGTCTGCACATTTGACGGGGGCCCTGAGGGCGTCATGACTCCAAGCTGGCATATTGTCTGTCCTTACCTAGACTCTGACCTCCTTGGAGAGCAAGCATTGCCCCTCTGCCCCTTTCTTAAACTGTGAGCACGTTGTTCCACGAGCACCAATGACAGTGATACTTCAGCGGCCAGGCCAACAGCTGGTCATTGGATCAGAGTCTGAGGTTACCTTGGTGGAGCTTTCAGCATATACATAAGAACTTAACCCAAGCAACGGTAGGACCCATCTCCAGCGGTTTCCACTCTATATGTTTAGTCCTTCGTGGTCCTTCGTGGTGCCCTGAGGGTTCCTGCTCCCATCTCTGCAGACTTTTTTGCAGGAACTTTGCAAGTGTCAATTTGCCTGTAGACACTGCTATGTTGTCACAATTGCAACTTGATGAGAGTAATTTTCCTAAACGAAACAATCGTGGTGATGAGCCCCAGCTCTCTTCTGCCAGCCGATGCAGCTGGGATGTGCGGCGCTGTCCCCTCACACATGCGCTCGCAGCCCGAGGGTCCGGTTTCCTGGGCGCTCTAGGACCCACAGAAGCTCTCTTTGTAAGCCATCCCTTCCTTCCTGAGTTAACAGCAGTGTCCCAGATACATGCACAACTGGTTTCCAATTTATTTCTTTTCAACAGCCCTTGGCAAACATTTCTTCCCCCCTTTCTCTCTTTATTGCTTGCCTTTGCTTTATCTGCTAAATTCCTGCTTGTGGGCTCCAGCTGCCTTTACAGCACCTGCCCTTGTTAATATCTCCGTGTTGTTGCAGTTGCTGCCTGTGGGGTCCTAATGAGGAGCAGGTGGATATTATCAGGTCACTTTCAGGGAAGCGGATGGGAGGGAATCTATTACCAAGCAAGGCATTATATAGGTTATCTCATTTAAAACCATCCTCGTGCAGTAAATATTATTTCCCTGACTTTATGATGAGAAAACCTATCCCCAGGAAAGCCCCTAAATATCATTCTTTTGAAACTCCCTGTAAGAGTCAATCATCTCTCTTCTGCTCAAAGTTCTTTCAATGGAGTCTTATTATCTATTACAGAATAAAGACCACATTCCGTAGCCCGATATTCAAAAATCCCTCAGGACCTGGCCCTCATCTACATTTTTCTCTCCCACTGCTTGGTACTTTATAAATACTCACTTATAATCAAATTGAGGTTTTCACTCTTTTGCACCCTTCCTCAGTTCTCTACCTTAGCCCCTGTGACTTCCCCTGTATCATTGCTCTCCTGAAGCCACTTTCTCTACATATACAGATAATGCTTAACTTGTAGGGTACAGTTCAAAGGTCACAATGCCCACAAAAAATTCCCCACCTCCTTGGAAGTCATCACTGCCTGCTCCACCCAAGCCAGAACCGTCCCAGTCCTTATCATGCCCTGCATCATCAACCCATCCGAAGCTGTGAACTTCTTAAAGGTGGGAATCATGTTAGCTTTTAATTTGTCATTCTGAGATATAGCCAAGGCAATACCTTGCACAGAGTTGATGCTTTCAAAAAAAGGTGTTGAATGAATAATCTGGGGAAACTCCATCATCTTCTATTAACTCCATCTGTGATTAATAATTAGTACTAATAAGATACTTCTGACTAAAGTATATGAAACACAAAAATTGGTACTAAAAATTAGCATTCTGAAAACTTTGCTTAGGAAGGTTAGTTCTTTTACACTTTCCAAATACTTTATCTGCAGTGACTGTCTTTATATTTGGTTAAATAGACATGGTCACTTTTAATTCAACTTTGGAAGTCTCAAAATAGTTAATAATTTTTTTTTCTCAGAATAGGACATAGAAATCAGGTTCACAGTAGACCGATTCCTTTCCCCGTAAACAATTGCTGGTTATGCAAAAATGTACACATGAAATGTGAAATGTGCTCACCGAATAATTCATTGAGTGTTAACTCATCTCTCTTGGCCCCCATTCAACCATTCAATCATTAATTTGATCAACAAACATTTATATTTCCAGACATAAATCTTTCCAAAATTTCAGACCTATATATTCAACTATCAACTCAGCAACTCTACAGAGATGACCCACAGCCTTCTGGAATCCAAGATACCTAAAATTGAATTTATAATCCTCTGCCCCCGCCCAGCATCCAGGCCAAGTCACACACAATCTGTTCCCTCTGCTCTGTTGAGATCAAAGAGCAGTCCCCACGCCACCTCCTTAGTGAATCTGGTGATGTCCTCTTTTTCACTTCTCCCCTCTTCTTCCTCAATCCTGCACACCGATTCAATTATTCAGCACTATTGATTGTACTGCAGAAATATCTGTAATATATTACTCTTTTTCTTTACCTCCACTGCTATCACTTCTGTGCAGCTTTGTTGCATAAAATAAAAAATGGACAGTATCGTTAATACTGAACGTAATGTATTAAGCATCTATATGATGTCCCGATAACATACTGGTTCCTTTATACATGTTATCTCATGTAACACTCACAAGAACCCCTTGAAGGAAGGCATTTAGAACAAAATATCCCTTTAAATGAGGAAACTGAGTTGTAGAAAGTTGAAGTGACTAAGTTTTCACAACTAGGAAGTACCAAAGTGGGACTTTAAAGTGAGTGTCTGTGACTCCAAAGTCTAATGTCTTTTCCTAGATGTTGTCTCCCAGTGAAGAAAACACAAGTTTTGGCTGAAACTGTCCATTAGTTTATTCGGCAGATGCACTGAGCATGCATGTGTGCTGAGCTTTGTGTAGGCTCTGAGGGTGCCATGGCTGTGCTCCTGTTAGTAGAAGATCGTCAGGATTGGGGAGACTGTGCTGCTGCCACAGACACCTTGAGCATCTCAGTTACTTCAAAAACACAAGCTTTGTCGTTCACACACAGCACTTGCCTGTTGATGATGGTTGGCTGGGGGGCTCTACCCTGTGTCAGCCATGTCCTCACTCCAGGCCCAGGAAGATAGCACAGCCACTTTCCAGAACATTCCTGGTGACCTTGACAGTGAGGTCATAGTTTGGTGAAGCAAGTTCTGGCTCTTAAGCTTCTAATGAGAAAAGTGTTGTCATCTAGTTAGAAGCTCATACTTCATTGACAAAGAAAGTCGCATGGCCACAGGAAGAAACGTCTTGGCTAGGGCGATAAATATTGTTGGACAGTGGTATAGCTACACAGGTAGCCAAGGCATAAATATTTAAAAGTTAATCATACTCATGCTATTGGGAAAGGAAGTGTTAGTCTCCTCTCCCTTCATCAGAAATGTCCCAAGGAAGAAAACCTTATTGATCAGAGTTCGGGGCACTGATTATGCCTCAGGCACTTCTCATTGCCCAGAGTTAACCAGACCCAGATGGAGCCAGGCCTCAGAAAGGAGCTAGTCCATGTCCCTCTCTCTATTCCGCAATGTTTGATGTTATAGAAATGGCAAACCAAGGTGCCCCCTTCTTTGGTGCCTGACCATTTCTTTTTCTCTTTGCTTTGATCTTTCTTTCTTGTGGTTTCTGTGATGGGGGTAATAGGCCACACTTAGACTACAGTGGAAAGGAAGAAATAGGAGGCCTTATTTTGGCCGTGAGCCAAGCCCATTTCTAGAATCCAACTTTTAAGGGGGGCACTGTGAGCTAATAGCAGTACCTTATTTCCCATTTGGCTACAGTTACTTGAGAATATTTCCCTCAGAATCCCATTGGGGGAAGCATTGATTAGTAGAATTCAATTTTTCTTTTTTGGACCCTTGCCTTAATACCATCACATTCCCATCAATATTCATGAAACATGCCGATGGAGACATATACACATTTTATGGATCACAGAGGAAAACAAAATGACCAATATATTCTGTAGGTAGGAAAGTCAGGGAGGGATAAGTTCCTTGGGTCTTGAAAAAGGAGAGTAAAGACCAGGACAGAGGAATAGTAAATACAGAGTCAAGGAAGCACAGAGCACGCTAGGTGAATGACATGTGAATTAGATGGATTCAGAGCAAAGACTTTTTTGGTGAGGTTTGTAAAAAAAAAAAAAGGCATAAAAAAACCATATTGTTAAAGACATCTAATCGTTATTCAGGAAATAAATGAATTAGTAAATGAGTAACAAGTATAATGTGTATAAATTATTTACTATATGTAGACATTATTTTATCTTAACAAGAACTCGATATAGCAAATTACTATTATAATTTCCATAGTAAAGATGGGAAACTTAGGCTTAAAGATATTAAAAGAATTTGATATATCATGCATCCGTTAAGATGTCATTGGCTGCAAGTAAAAATATTTTGAGTAATGATAAAAAGTAAGGGACATTTATTATTTATCACAAAAAGAATAATGGTGGTAATTCCTCCTCAGATTAATTTTGCAGCTCAATAATGTTATTAGGGCCCACGGCCCTTCCTACTCTTCCATTCTTGGCCTTTGTGTGTTTCTCCCTGTGGTTAGAAAAATGACAGCCACGGTTCTGGCCATCACAGGGAATCATGATGATATCAGCTGACAAACAGGGAAGCTTGCACTCTGCATGTCTTCATTAGGAAAGAAATCCTACACAGCTGGCCATTTTTAAGAAAATATCTCAAAAGGCTCTTTGGTGTGGCTGTGAGGGCCTGGTCTACCTGTAGACAGTAAAACACAGAGAGTTACAAGGCTCTGTTTATTGTTCTGGATAAAAGTCAGGGTTAGGGCAAGCAGCAAAGTGGGAGAAGGAAAAGTAAAGAGATTAAAATGGAAAAGAGCGGTGACTTGAGCCACACGGAGGAGGCCAGCATTTGATGGGAAGTCTGAGTAACTAAAGACATTTTTTGAGAAAGGTCTTTTACTGTTAAAATGTAAAGTGTTCCTATGGTGTATATTCTACCCCTTTCCCTGATTCCTTTATCAAGACTGAAGCATACACAAACTCCAGGTGTTTGTTCTGGAAAGAAAGTTAAGAAAAGGGACCATGTTCCCTGACCTTTCTTGGTATAAAGCTCCGAATTTAGGTTGATGTTGGGAAGATTTAGAATTCATTTATTACAGGAACTTAAAGGTTAAGTCCCCACAAATCCTCAAAAATCTTGAGGAAGACATTGGAATTTCCATAGGATATGAGAGAGGGTCTTGGAATGACTTTATTTAATTTTCAAAGGACAGGAAGACCTCAGATGACACATGGGTCACATACAAAATGCTGCATTAAGTATTTCTAAATGTCAATCTTTGTATTTCTGATAATTTCCTATGTATAAATTCCCATAAGAGCAATTACTGGTCAGAGGTTGGGGACAAGTATAAAGCCCTTGGAATGCACTGCCAAGTGCTGTGACAGTGTTCACTTCTCTGTCCCTTTGCCAATGCTGGAGGGTATTGCGATGTCTTGAAAACCCTGTGTCTGAAGGTTTTAAGTGCTGTGCTTTGACCCTGAGAAAGTGCACATGTTTACTTCCGGAAATCTCTTTCCACCTCTAGCCTCAGTCATTATCAATAGTCTCGGTGATCATGATTGTGACTCTCCTCCAGGAGAAGCAGAAAAATGTATGGAGAGGAGAAAGGGAGAAACATGGGACAAATGAAGGAATCCAGGATGTTTAGTGTTTAAGAAAGGTAGAAATACCAAGTGATGGGGTCTTAAAAGAAATGAGCCCCTTTTCTTGGAAATTGAATTTCTGAGAAGCATCCTTAAGAATGAGATATATTAGTTCCAAATTTGAGATTAGGTGCTATCCCCAGAGGACATTCTAATCCCCTCTTGCATCTACCCCTAATTCCCTCTTCACCTCCATTTCTGCAAGCACAAACCCACGTACCTGTGCCACTGTTTGAAGTTGCAAAGGCATTGCTTTGTCTTGTAAATGCAGATTGCATGGGCAAATTTTGTCAAAATGCATTTCTTCAGGGTGGTTTTAAGGTAGGGCCCAGAGTGGCTCACTTTGCACTGACCAGCACTTTCTCTGTTCTAGAGGAGATCCATCTCCACCTTTTCCCTTTGACGATCTGGATTAGAGGCAGATCCATTCACAGGGAACAGAATCCAGCATGGCAACGGAGGCCCAGGCTATGTTTGGGCACCAGGGAGCAACCTAATGAGGGATAACAGTAGGAAAAATTGCCTAATCAGGTGGTATTATGTTTCCTTTCCCCATCCACTGTCGTAGGAGAGCTGTGTGTATCCGGTGGACAGAACACAGCATGAGAATTGCTGCTGGGCAACAGATAACTTAGTCTTTCCACAGTGAATTCCTGTGTTATGATTTGGAGGTCTAAACTATCCTTCAGAGGAAATTCACCACATTCCAACACCCTGCTTGCCAAAGTTCATTTCATCTAAATATATATGCCAGTGAGATTTGGAAATGATTAAAATTGGGATATCTGTCACTTCCAAGGTAATGTCATCATCATTATCATCATCACCTCAATTTCCCTTAGAATCATAGAGGCCCAGTTGATTCACTTACAACCCTCAGTTCTATTCCTTAGTC